GGGAAAAACCCACAAAAGAAAAAGTTATATTATGTATGTGAGAACTACGGGCGATGCTCCAGTGGTTTAGGCTGCATTGCTCCAGGTGTTTCATCTCCTTTACTTTTGTAGTATAATGACATCTAACAAATTGAGACACCTTTGAAGGAAAATAAAGAAAAGGAATCGGCTGCATAGACAAAAGGTGGTAAATGACTGCACTTAGAAGTATACAAAGATATTGTTTAGTAAATCTTGATCTAGAATAGTTCAAAGAACCTCTGCTTGTTCAACTCTTGCAATAGAGTTGAATAAAGATATCAATTTCCATTGGTTCTCCTTAGTGCTTATCTAAGCAGTAATCTCCTGCAAAATCTTGGGCAAAGAAGTTGATTTGTAAAGAACTTGGATTCTTTTTTGTTAGGATCTAGTCCATTTTGGAGAAAACAGCTTGATACCAACTTTTACTGAATTTTCTATTTTTTTCTATAATTTTATACTTACTTTTAACCGTCAGATTCAGTTTAGTAATAGCTTGAGTAATTGCCCATAATATCTCAAATTAGAAGAAAAAAGTGTCCCACGGTCTACCGAAAAACTTTTATTTTCATGTTTGATTTCTAGTCCAACCTGATTTGAAGAAAAGAAACTTCCTTATCCTTTTGGAATCTATTCTATATTTTTTGTTTTCATATCAAGAAGTTCTATCTTGTAGTTCGGTTATGAACAAGAAAGAACCGTTGTTTGGATCTAATATAACAATGGTTGCTTTTCCTTACCTGCCTGATACCTGACTCACAATGGTTAAAAAAAAGGTCTTCTAGTCCAGTCTCCATCAATACCATTCTGAATTTGTCAAAGGCTATAGGCATTAAGAAGCTAGATGCATCATTTCCTGCAGTTATATATCTAAGTTGGTGATGTTGGACCTTAGAGGGAGGTGATTAGGATCTTAAGGCCATAATAGTGCAATAAAAATAAGACAAGCAACAAACCACAAAATAAACAACTATAGCAAATGAGATAGAGTTAGAAATCATTATCCAAGTGACGCGCGATGTGTTAACAAGGTTCGGCCCGCTGACCTACGTCCCCGCTCCCCACTCTCGAGGAGAATCCACTACACAACCCGGTTTGGAATCCGAAACTTCTTCTACACAACGATCTCCACAAGATCTCAACTATACAGTTGATCACCACAAGATCTAACTCCCACACAGTTGATCTCCACAAGATCAAGCTCACAACAGTAGTAATCTAACTCCCACACAGTTGATCTCCACAAGATCAAGCTCACAACAGTAGTAATGGTGTAAAACTCTCTCTTTACAATGTTCCTATAGCAAGGAGAAAGATTGTAGTAATGGTGTAAAACTCTCTCTTTACAATGTTCCTATAGCAAGGAGAAAGATTACACTGAAGCTGAAGCTGGGATGTGAACTTAAAAAACAGAGAACATGTTTGAAAGTTTAGGGCTCTTTTGAAAACAGTAAATAGGTTTGCAGGATATTTCAAAATGGACAAGAGCATTTGAGAGAAGAGGGGTATGAGAGTTTAAATAGGAGAAAACAGATCACTTTAAACCCATACCAAAATCCCCCAAAACCTGAAAAAATCGGCGCTAAAAATCTGTACCAAAAAGACCATTTGAGTAAGCAGCGGTCGACCGTACAAATTTCGCGGTCGACCGCGAGCCAGCTTTGAAACTTGGAAAATTTCCAGAGACTTCTGCGGTCGATCGTGGGAATTTTTGAGCTGACGGTCGACCGTGACGGTCGACCGTGAAAGTTTCTGCTGTCCACTCAGGAAAAGACACAGGCGCGGTCGACCGTGAACTGATACAAACAGACACTGTTTTGAAACCTGTTTTTGACTCTATAAAAAATTTATAAAATATTTGGATGACTTCCAAAAAATTATGAAACTTTATAAAATATTTTTAACACTAAAAACAAATTGTTTAGAAAAGAAATTTTGCGAGTAGGTCCTCATACTTATGAAAAATGATATTTTATCAAAACGCTTAAAAATATAAGTATGAAAATGTGTGTGTGATATCCCAATAGCTTCAAGTGAAATCTAAAACTACTTGTCTACATTCTAGCACTAGAGAGAAGAAAAACTAGCTAATATCCTCACATAGTATTACAATTCTTTGAGTCTTGATATAGCTTGAGTTGATGAAGATTCTCATTGCATTTGTTGTTCTTGAATTAACATTGCTTCATCACTATGCCTCCTCCTTCTTTGGATATCATTGTTGTAGCTTATATTCCATTCAATCCTCCATGCATGGTACTAACAAGCTTGATATATATATATTAACTACTATATCACTCAACAAACAATTAGTACCGATAATGGTGGTTGTAAAACATCATCAAAACATAAGGGCTAACAATCTCCCTCTTTTTTATGATGACAACCAATCAAATTATAGCTTATAGATAGTAGTTCCCCCTATCTATGAGCTCCCCCTTATTATGTGCACAAATGAGGAGATTTCTCTCTTTTGTCACCATCAAAATGGGGTAAAAAAATGCATGTGAAATACAACTAATCAAGCAAGCAAGTAGAACTTTCACATAGTATATAAGCCCAAATCATTTCTTATGCGATAAAAATCATCTTCACTAAGAGGTTTGGTAAAGATATCCGCTAATTGAGATTTTGTGTCAACAAACACAATGGATACATCTTGCCTCTCTGCATGATCGCGTAAGAAATGATGGCGCACAGCAATATGTTTGGTTCTAGAATGTAAAACCGAATTTTTTAAAATATTTATAGCACTAGTGTTGTCATAAAAGATTTTTATATTTTGAAAATTCAAATCATAGTCAACTAAGCTTTGTTTCATCCAAAAACTTAGGCACAACATAAGCCGACGGTAATGTATTCCGCTTTCGTAGTGGACAAGGCAACACAATTTTATTTCGTGGAAGCCCAAGAGACAAGAGAGTTACCCAAGAATTAACATGTACCATTCGTACTCTTACGGTCTACCTTACATCCGGCAAAGTCGGCATCACAAAAACCATGTAAATCAAAGGAGGTGCTTTTTGGATAAAATAAACCAAGATCAATAGTTCCATGAACATATTTAATAATTCTCTTAACGGCAATCAAATGAGATGTTTTAGGAGAAGCATGAAAACGTGCACATGCACACACATTAAACATGATATCGGGTCTACTAGCGGTGAGATAAAGAAGACTACCTATCATACCTCGGTATAGTTTTTGGTCCACATCCTCACCACTATCATCCGCATCAAGCTTGACACTTGTACTCATGGGAGTTGGTGCATGCTTAGAGTTCTTCAAATTGAATTTCTTCACCAATTCTCTAGCATACTTGCTTTGAGAAATGAATATCTCATCCTTAGTTTGCCTGACTTGGAACCCGAGAAAGAATGTGAGCTCTCTCATCATGCTCATTTCAAAATGATCTTGCATAATTTTAGAAAAATCATTGCATAGAGATTCATTAGTAGCACCGAAAATGATATCATCAACATATATTTGAACTAAAATAAAATCATTTTTCCTTTTCTCACAAAAAGAGTATTATCAATTTTTCCTTTAGAAAAATTATTTTCAAGAAAAAAAACTAGAGAGGCGAGCATACCAAGCTCTAGGAGCTTGTTTCAACCCATATAAAGCTTTTTGAACCCGGTAAACATGATTAGAAAAAGCATGATCCATAAAACCGGGGGTTGCTCAACATATACTTCCTCTTCTATAAAACCATTTAAAAATGCATTTTTGACATCCATTTGAAACAATTTGAAATCTTTAAAGCTTGGAAATGCCAAAAACATCCTAATTGATTCTAACATTACAACCGGTGCAAAGGTTTCATCATAGTCTATGCCCTCCTCTTGATTGTATCATTGTGCAACCAAACGAGCTTTATTTCTAGTAACAATGTCATGTTCATCAAATTTGTTTCTAAAAACTCATTTTGTTCCAATTACACTAGCATTGTTAGGTCTAGAAACTAGTTTCCAAACATCATTTCTTCAAAAATTGTTTAGTTCATCATGTATAGCTAAAACTCAAAATTTATTATTTAAAACATCATTAATCTTCTTAGGTTCTAATTGAGATAGAAATGTAATATTACCACACTCAAAGCCTTTGAGCGAGTTAGAACCCATTGTGAAGGATTTCCAATGATTTGCTCATTTGGATGATTTGGTGCAAATTTTCATGTTATGGGGAGTTCTTCTTGTTCTTGCTCTTGAAAGTTATTTGTGCTTTCCTCATCCTTTTGAACATCTATTGAGGGTGTTTTACCAATACATCCAATACCAATGATTTTACATTTCTCTCCACCACCGAAGGAGACACTACCTCCTTCAATCATTGATAGGATTACAAATAGCTTTTTGTTACCCGTCATATGATGTGAGCAACCACTATCAAGGTACCACATCTCTCTACGTCGTGTTTGTGATGTTCCCTACAAAAGATGAATGTGTAGTAACTTTAGGTACCCAAGTCTTGGGTCCTTGGTGGTTAATAATCTTGATACCTTTGGGTACCCATGTCATTCCATAAAAATCATGATTATCTTTAATCCTACAATGAGTAGAAATATGACCATGTTTCATGCAATATGTGCACATAAAATTTCTCGTGTGTAGGAGCATAAGATCTATAAAATCTATTTCTACCATGGTGATGATAATTAGCATAAGCATGAGTGAGGTCTAATCCTACCACTTTCGATTTCAAGTCTTTCAATCTTGGATCTTAATTGTTTGTTTTTAAAATCAAGATCGCCTAGCAATTCATCTTTTAAAGCAAGAGAGGTTTGTAGTTGTTCTAGTTTGGCATCACAAGAAGCATACAACTTTTTAAAGAAAGAAAATTCTATTGACATCCTTTTAAACTCAACGTTTAATTTTTCTAATGCCGTAGCTAGATCACATTGCATATAAAAGGATTCACTTTCGGTGTCGGAAACTACCTCCTTTCGTAGCTAGATCACATTGCATATAAAAGGATTCACTTTCGGTGTCGGAAACTACCTCCTTTTCATAGGTCATGAAGCAAATGTTGGGATCATGAAGAGAATTCACTTTCGGTGTCGGAAACTACCTCCTTTTCATAGGTCATGAAGCAAATGTTGGGATCATGAAGAGAAAGTTTAACTCATTCTTCATTGCTATCCGAATCACTTGGTTCGGATTCCTCTCATCCGGCATACATGGCCTTCTTCTTCTTGTACTTTAAGTATTTCTCCTTGAGCTTGGGGCAATCTTTAGCGATATGACCCGGTTCATTGCATTCAAAGCACTTCCCTATACGTGAAGAAAATTTGTTGTTAGACCGGGGATTAAATTTCTTGTTCATTTTAATGAGTCTAGAAATTCTTCTAGAGAGGTGAGTCGCTTCTCTAGAAAAATCAACTTCACTCTCCGACGATGATGAGGAGTTATCATTAGCTCCTTTGAGAATTATGGTCTTCATTTTTGATGATGGCTCCTCAACTTCCCGTGGGGACAATTCCTCCTTGTCCTTTTCCTTGAGCTTCTTCTCATGAACCTTAAGCTTGCCGATGAGGCCATCGAGAGCTAGAGTGGTAAGGTCATGAGCTTCCTCTATGGTCGTAGCTTTGGGTTCCCATATCGAAGTTAATGAACGTAGGATCTTGTAGTTCGTCTCTTGGATAGTTAATTTCTTGTTAAGACCATGCAATTCATTGATTATGTTAGTGAAGCGAGAAAACATAGCATCAATGGATTCATTAGGAAGCATCTTAAATAACTCATATTCATGCATAAGCCCACTAATCTTGGATTCCTTAACTTGGGGGTTCCTTCATGTGTAATACACAATTTCACCCATATTTCGTATGCGGTTGCACACGTAGAAATCCTATTATATTTATTGGGGGAAAGATCGCAAATTAAGACGTTCATGGTCTTTGCATTGAGATTGGCTTGGTACCTTTCTCCATCGGTCATATTCACGACTTTGGGTTTTTCTATATATTTCTTCTCTATGAGTTCTAGAATGTTAAGATCAATGCAACGAAGGTAAATCTTCATCCTAGCCTTCCAATAAGCAAAATTACTACCGGTAAAAAGGGGTGGTCTAGTGGTGGATTGTCCCTCTAACATATGCACATTCATTGAAGCCTTCATAAGATCTTTCCTCTAAGGTGGTTAGACCAAAAACTAATATAGAGATCAAGTTCTGATATCAATTGTTGGACCCTAGAGAGGGGGTGATTAGGGTCTTAAGGCTATAATAGTGTAATAAAAATAAGACAAGCAACAAACCACAAAATAAATAACTATAGCAAATGAGATAGAGTTAGAAATCGTTATCCAAGTGACGCACGATGTGTTAACGAGGTTCGGCCCGCTGACCTACGTCCCCGCTCCCCACTCTTGAGGAGAATCCACTACACAACCCGGTTTGGAAGCCGAAACTTGTTCTACACAACGATCTCCACAAGATCTCACAACTACACAGTTGATCACCACAAGATCTAACTCCCACACAGTTGATCTCCACAAGATCAAGCTCACAACAGTAGTAATGGTGTAAAACTCTCTATTTACAATGTTCCTATAACAAGGAGAAAGATTACACTGAAGTTGGGATGTGAACTTGAAAAACAGAGAACAAGTTTGAAAGTTTAGGGCTCTTTTGAAAACAGTAAATAGGTTTGTAGGATATTTCAAAATGGACAAGAGCATTTGAGAGAAGAGGGGTATGAGAGTTTAAATAGGAGAAAACAGATCAGTTTAAACCCATATCGAGATCCCCAAAAACCTGAAAAAATCGGCGCTGAAAATCTATACCAAGAAGAACGTTTGAGTAAGCGGCGGTCGACTGTACAAATCTCGCGGTCGACCGCGAGTCAGCTTTGAAACTTGAAAATTTTCCAGAGACTTCTGCGGTCGACCGTGACGGTCGATCGTGGGAATTTTCGGGCTGACGGTCGACCGTGGCGGTCGACCGTGAAAGTTTCTGCTGCCCACTCAGGAAAAGACACAGGCGCGATCGATCGTCGCGGTCGACCGCGAACTGATACAAACAGACACTGTTTTGAAACCTGTTTTTGACTCTATAAAAAATCTATAAAATATTTGGATGACTTCTAAAAAATTGTGAAACTTTGTAAAATATTTTTAACACTAAAAACAAATTGTTTAGAAAAAGAATTTTGCGAGTAGGTCCTCATACTTATGAAAAATGATATTTTATCAAAATGCTTAAAAATATAAGTATGAAAGTGTGTGTGTGATATCCCAATAGCTTTAAGTGAAATCTAAAACTACTTGCCTACATTCTAGCACTAGAGAGAAAAGAAAAACTAGTTAATATCCTCACATAGAATTACAATTCTTTGAGTCTTGATATAGCTTGAGTTGATGAAGCTTCTCATTGCATTTGTTCTTCTTGAATTAACATTGCTTCATTACTATGTCTCCTCCTCCTTTGGATATCATCGTTGTAGCTCATATTCCATTCAATCCTCCATGCATGGTACTAACAAGCTTGATATATATATTAACTACTATATCACTCAACAAGCAATTAGTATCGATAATGGTGGTTGTAAAATATCATCAAAACATAAGGGCTAACAGGTGATGACACTCTTTACCATAAACATAAGTTCATTGTAAACTAGTGTTTTTGCTGGTTCCTTTTTCTTTCTTTTTTACCTTTTCATTCTGTGTAGTATGTGTGCTCTTTGCGTTATTTTTTTTGGCTGCTTCTATTGGGTGTGTTTTTGGTTTGTGTGTGCCTGTGCATGCATGTGTGTTTGGGGAGAGTGGGGTGGGGTGTATTTATTTGGTGTTTGAGGAACAATTGGGGCCAATCAATGTTGATTGTGGATCTGCTTAATCCTCAAAGATGAGGGGCGCAAGAGAAAGTGGGTAAGCAGATGGATATGATTTAACTGCTGAACAGGGAACATGAAGAGATCAGACATGATGAGAATCATTATTGTTTAAACTCTGTGTTTGGCTGAACTTCCTTCATCAGAAGTTCATTTTATCGCAAGAGAAAGTGGGTAAGCAGATGGATATGATTTAACTGCTGAACAGGGAACATGAAGAGATCAGACATGATGAGAATCATTATTGTTTAAACTCTGTGTTTGGCTGAACTTCCTTCATCAGAAGTTCATTTTATCGCACATCCGTCTGTCTTTCTAAAAGGCCAACCTGGTATTTTGAGAAAAGTTACATAATAGTTTTAGCAACTGGAAAAATCCATAGGCTGTGACTGTGTTTATGCTTCGGTGTTTCAAACTTAGGAGTGGGGATTGACCAAATCATGTACTATTTTTTAAACTTTTCAGTCTGGACATTGTTTTCAGAACCTGACTTGCAGGAGAAATTAACGGAATCTACTTTTTCAATTTACGATGATTAGTACATATTGATTGTAGTGAAATCTACACTGGATTTTGAAAATTTTCGAGTTAAAATCTTCGATATGTTGAATTGCCTTATGAAAATATAAGACAGACCAAGAAAGAACGCATTAATTGACTGACATATCAAAAAATAACCTTTTTTTTGCACGCGGTCATGGAAGGGAGAAAAGAAATATGTTGCCACCTGAAGTATACTAATGACAATCCCTAAATGTTGCTTGAGATTTCGAATATTCTTTTACTGTTACTTGCACCTCTGCAGTGTTGATCAAGAGGATTTACTTTCTTTCTGTCGTGTAGAATCTATGGAGTCCATGATGAGGCAAAGGACAAAGCATTTGAGCTGGAAATGAGCTGGGTCTGCGATGAGTCAAACCGCCAACATCAAAAGGTAATTTGCAGTAGAAGCTAAATCAACCATGTGACTGATATCATTATTTGTTTACACTGAACATAAATAACCCCTGAAACACAATTGATGTACTTAGTTAATATTGCTGTTTTTGTTTTACACGATATACATAGTTTCCATGTAGGCTACAAGTAAATTTTGTTCTGAAAAAAATGATGCTTTACGAAAATAGTTTTATCATTAACCAAGAGATTTCCTTTAATTTACTATTGTAATGTATTTTTGTCTTGAAATAGTATGTTTCTTTTCACACCAAACAAATATGATCCTTAATGATTTTTTTATTTAGTAATTCACATAACCTGTAACTGTTCCATGTACGGCATTCTATCTTCTATATCGACTCCCCATCTAGAACTTTAACTAACAAAAGGAATAGTATAATCTATACCCAAGTACTTATATAAATTTGATGTATCATAATTCATAAGGAAAGGAACAGTATAATGTATACACCAAGTGCTTATATAACTTTGATGTATCATAATTCACAAGGAAAGGAACAGTATAATGTATACACCAAGTGCTTATATAACTTTGATGTATCATAATTCACAAGGAAAGGAACAGTATAATGTATACACCAAGTGCTTATGTAACTTTGATGTATCATAACTCATGAGGAAGACAGGTACTGTTCTTGTTAGCAATTTTCGTTTCCATCATCTTGTTTGAGTGAAATTTCATATTTGTTTTCTTTACTTCCCACAATAAATTGGCTGTATCATTCTTCTGCACCAACCTATCTTTGTTCAAGCCTTCATCTTGTTTGTGTTTGTGCAATTATAGGTACCAAATGATCTCTTGGAAGAAGCTAAAGCAGCTGCCAAAGCAGCACTAGAAGAAATGGATGCAGATTAAGGACCTAAACTGCAACCTCAATTTCCTTCGGTTGTTCGAACTTGGGAACCTTATGACAACTTCAATCCTATTACTTGGAATTTCATTGCTTAAACTACAGGAGTATCTGATATCTGAAGAACACTTTCTGGTTTATGACAACAAGGACCAATTCTTTCTTTTGTAGTGAACTCTGAAGAACACTATGGCTTATGAGAATTGAGGACCCAATTCTTTCTTCTGTACACTAGCAAATGAAAAATTTGTAGATCTACATCACTCCTTGGTTTCCATGTTTTAGTTGTTGCATCTTTGATTAAACACTGTTCTACACAATGTCCAGCTATCCTGCAATTAACCTATCGGATTGGATGGTTATGTTAAATGCCCAGGATTGAGAGTTGAGCATGCGTAACTTTTTCATATATCATGTATTTATAATCTTACAGGAAAAAGACTAGCTTATTCATCATTATATTGAGGAACCATGGTTCATGAGATAACTCTGATGCTACTCAACCTCGAACGGATATGAAAAAAAAATTCCTTCTTGAAAGCAACTGATAAATCTAAAATAACACTGCTAACAACTTGTCTTAAGCTCTGCGAAACATTTATTCTAATTATTAAGCTCCCATTCAAGATGTCGGCACAAATAAATTGCATACCCAGTGAGAGGAAGCCTGCTTGCGATTTCAGTGGACATGGAGGCTTTAAACAATTATGGGAATCTTATAAAATAACCATTTAGACACATTTACATCTTGACGATTGCTCATGCACGATTTCATCGGCATCATGAATTACAATTTACAGAATGCGTCTCAAATGCATTAAATTAGAATGAGATGTTCTTGCTCACTTGGAAACAAGTAATGGCAAGTTTTCAATTATTTACAGAAATTTGGGTAAACTGCATTTACCCCTCCCAAGGTTTCAAACTCGACTAGTTTCCCATTCACTCTGGTTTAGCTTTCTGCTCCTTGCTTTTCCTCGGCTCAGTGAAGAACTTGAATACCAATACTGCCAATATAGTAGCTTGAAGAGGGGCAAACCAGTAAACTAGTAGATGCTCCTTTGTTATATGATCTCCTCTTGCATATGCCCAACCAAGAGCCTGTCAACAGAAATTCTATCATTGGAATGTGGCTCTTAAGTACTGCAACATAAATCTATAGATGCCGATAAAAGATTGCTTGAAATGCCACTGCGGTCAATCAATTGAACCATAAAATGCCACTGCGGTCAATCAATTGAACCATAAACTTTACAAAATTACCATGTACTTTGCAGGGGTTTACACAAAACTCCCATACATATTTTTACTAGAGAAAACTGCCACGAACTTTTTTCACTGGACTACCATGCCTGATGACAGTTAGGGCCATGTGCTTTAAAAGCATGTGATACGTCTTTGACAATCTTGTCGTTACGTACTTTACATATCTTTCATATTACTTCCTCCTCTCCTGCTTTTCAAGGGTACTTCTAGAAATTTTATCCAAGTCTTCAATGCTGTTAACAACAATTTCCAATAGTTCATGGTACTTTTCTGCAGTTTTGAAAGTTCATGATAGTTTTCTTTAATAAAAAGAGATTATGCTAGTTTGTGCAAAAACATCATGGTAGTTTGTTAAATTTACCCTCATATAAAAGGCCATGGCAGCTTTGATCAAAGAATTTAGTATTGAGGAAATAAGACAAAAAAGTATAAACTATGAGGATATTTTCACTTATTATATCTTAACCTAAAAACATTCATGAATTGAGATCATTTATGGATCAAACCACAAGACCCTTTCATGGGAATAAGAGTTTGAGAAAGTATGTTCACCAAGATTGTATCCTTAACTGCATTTACAATTATTAGTACCAATCCAATATCAGAAGACGGAAATCTAGAGAAGCACTTTTGATAACATAAAATTAAGTGCCCCCGAATAATGGACAGAAATTACAAATAGATCATCTACATATTTTTAATAGTACCATAATAATTCATCCAATATGGGGGCTGAAAACTAGAGAAGCATATATGACAACATCTACCAAATTGCATGATACTATACACCATTGCTACTTCAAGTGATGCTTGAAATTCAATTCATTCAGTAATCAAGCTGATACTTACAAATTTTCTTTTATAAGCTGTTCCCTCTCTTCTTTCAATAAATAATAAAGAAATGTGGGCTACTTTATCTTCTCTCAGGAAGAACAATTTTACATCAAGACCTATATGTCAAAGGTTACACCTCCTCATTACACAGAACCATCTATCTATTTGTCTTCTGCTGGGACTGAATATGTGGGTGGTCAAGTACATAAGTTAGACAAAATTCTGAATTTTTTTATGCCTTTCATCACTTGCTCTACAGGTACATGGAATCTTTTTCTTTGGTGGCTGTTGTTACTTGCACAGTTCTTAGCACATAATACCATAAAGATAACTTTTCTCGAGAACCAGTCTTGCATATTTTTCCAACACCCATCACCTGCATTGTACCATTAATACAGGTTGTTTACTTCACAAACATAAACTAATATTTCAAATATCAATACACTGAAGACATACTGGGACTACATCCATGCAGCTGTTTGTTTGTTCTGATATATTCATGTCACAGGTGTGTCCACCAAAGGCATCAACTTTTCTCTTAGTCTAGAATCTTCCTCCTATATGAATCAATTAGGAGATTGCTCCTAAACTATATGAGTTGCATGAAAAGAAAATGTTGGCCTACCTACCCTCCAGTTTGCCTTCTCATTGTTATATTTGCGCTAAGTCGTTGAGATATCAGGTTGAGAGCTGTAAATTTTCAGCAACAGCTTGGACGATATTGATGAAAACAAGAATATAAGGAATAATAGACCATGACAATCTAATACTTCTGGGTGGTAAAGAGTTACCATTTACTTGGCAGTAAGTAACTACCACCTTTGAGGCAAGAAAAACTACAATATGCTGCTTTCTATTATGCACACTATGCTCTTTCCTCTACCTCCAACAACAACAAAGCTTTCATGCCAAGATTTGGGTCTGGCCACATGAATCTGCCACTTCCATTTTAGTGATCATCTTTAATGTTAAATTGTGCACATACTGGTTTAACTGTTTTAGTTTCTTATATTCATCATCACTTAGGCCTAACTCTACTCCCACATATGACTTCAGACTTCTCCTAACATGTACGCATATTGCCCTTCAATCTGTATGCCCAAAACTATCTCAATCCTCGTTGTGCCCTCAATGAGAGAAACCTTTCACTTCTCCGATTTACTCGTTTCTTATCCTCTCGCTTAGCATATCACCACGGACCCATCTCAACATAGTTCTGCTATACTGGTCAATTTTCTGTCCCTTAAAGTACACTGGTGCTGTAAATGCCCTGTAGCTCTTTTTCCCCCCTTCAGTTTCATTGATATTCATTGATCACACAATGATCCAATAGACATTTCTTCATTTTAGCCCTCCCACTTTGATTTGATGAACCATATCCACCTTAATCTTGCTTTGTTGATTCTAATAGCAGAAACAGTCACTCCTTTGTACTTTTAGCCATCAATCTGCAGTAGCTGCTGATTTCTTCTCCCAGTTTTCTAAAGGCTAAATAGCAATTACATACCTTATAGAAAGATGCAAAAATTATCAACAAACGAAACAAACTAGACAATTTATTACATTTAGAATGCCCAAAGTAGAAAAAGCAGATTGGACACCAAAATATAGGATTAACACTAAAATGGCGATTGATCCAAATTTTAGACTGAAGACCTGGACCCGTGGACCCCTGGACAAAAGTTAATTAGTTGCTAAAACTGCGGCTGGAGAGGGGAAATCATGATTATGTACGAAGTTTCAGACATTAGTTTATGAGTGATGCATCTCCTTGAGTTCAATAAATTCAATTCATAATGAAAGCCCAAATCAAAATTCTCACCATTCAATATATAATAGCAAACATTTCTTTGTATATATGACTGAAGATTGGGTTGAAGAGAATTAAAAACTATACATGAGATTAAGACAAATATAAACTGACAGGGGAATGGAATCTGTGGAACAGGACATTAGTTAAAGGCATATCTTCTTCCCATTTACCTAGTTAGTGAAAACGTCTAGTGGAATTCTATGTTTAGGTAAATTATGGTTAGTCAATTGAACCTGCAGTAGTCCAGAAACATAATAAAAAGAAATGGTCAACATGCTCCAAAACAAATATGATGCTTGTGTCATTTCAAAACTTTCACAAGAATGCTTCATAATGAAATCTGTACGTACATTACATATCACATAAACACATACAGCATGCATGAAGTGGAATAATTTACTCTACATATCAATCTCTACATTTTTTTTTACAGAATATGAATTCTATCCACTGTTTGTTATCCCAGAATATAATGAAATCAAGAAAAAACAAACAAAGCTACAACCTTCTCCTTATGAGAAAGAAACTGTAACTATATTTATAAATGAAAGAATCCAAATGAATTAGAACTAAGTGAATCTTGCCTAGCTGGATGGAGAAAAGGGTTTATTACTGCCCACAAAAAAGGGAGTAAAAGGCTTTACTTTTCATGTAATCCAATTAGATTATAATACACTTTGGTAGTGCTATTAGGATTGTGATGAAATTAGTTTTGGAAGGTTTCTTCGCTTGCCTAGTTTAGTCTCTAGTGGTGTTGTGGGAAAAATGTGCCAAGAAAAACATATATAATCCCCTCTCCCTCACCTCCTCTCCCTGTCCACAAACCAGTAAAAAAAGGTAAAGGAACCACAAGAGAAGGCAGCAAGAAGGAAGAGTAAGAAGAAAAGAATAGAAGGAAAAGAAACAGAGAGAAAAGAAAAGGAACAGAAGAAAGAGGAAAGGAAAAGAAAGAAAGAAGGGGAAGAAGAGAAGAAGAGAAAGAAAAGAAGGGGAGGGGGAAAACAAGGGAATTGCTTGAGGTAAATCAGAATGCTATTCCTTGATTGTAGGAAGATATAATTGTTAGGAATTTAATAAATATTTGTGTTTATTTGGATTTAGGATGTAATTGAGATGATTAAGAAGTAAAGAGAGATGTAATCACTTGTTGTAAAGACTAAGTTTGTAGATTGATTGGTGAAATTGTCATTATGTGTGATTGTAGGAAAATGTAGTAAGAGTTAAAAAGAACTCTGGAAGAGGCGTGAGGAACTTGCATTGCGAAAGATTTTTAAGTGGGTTACATATTCTTTAATTTATGGTTTTCTCATTATTTGCATACAAATGTTATATTTTGACTTGTTAGAATATAAAAATTAACTCTAAGGTCTCACGATAACTTCAGAGTTCTAGTGTAATAGTCAGGGGCTTAAAGTTGGTATCAGAGCAATTGAGATTGGAATCTTATTAGTCACAAATTTCAATATAAATTAGAAAAAAATTGATATACTTCCTTGTGTGTCCATGTTTCTGCCTATAAAAAAGACCCTCAACATGCAGGAGCATGTTCAAATATAAAAATATAACTCTCAACGTTCACTATAACTTTGGAAGTTTGATGTTATGTGGTTAGGGACTTTAAGCGAATCCTAGGCTATTTTTAGTGGATTATACTCCCAAATGATCCATTCAAAATGTGGATACCTAACATGGAAAGGTCAATTATAACCCAAAATTTGGATTATAATTCACTTTGACCAAGTTGCCAAACATGACCTTGGTATTCAAAATTAGCTATATTCACTAGCTATAACGGACATTTTTTCATTTTCATTCATTTCAACCAACATGAATTAAGTATGTATACTACAAAATTCTCAACTTTTGAGGGCCATAACCTACATTTTTATTCATTCTTGTTCAACTAGTACCAATGGCAATTACGTATGTGTACTTCAACATCTACAGTTTCCATTGGCTAACTATGATGATTGTCTAGTTTTGTTCATTTCGATCCAATAACAATTACGTACGTGTGCTTCAAACTTTGCGATTTTCCTAAGCTATAGCCCACAATTTTTTTTCCATATATGTTTATTTCGACATAATAGCAATTAAATGTGTACTTCAAAATATGTGATTTTCATAGAATATATCCCATAATTTTTGTCATCATTCTTTAATATGTGTACTTCGAAATTCACGATCT